TCTCTCCAATTTATCCATATCTTTCCTAAAGTGTGGCACTCAGAACTGGACACGGCCTTAAGGCTGAGGCCACACCAGTGCTGAGCAGGACAACTATCTCCCATGTCTTACATGCAACAGTCCTGCTAATACACCCCACAATGCCATTAGCCTTCTTTGCAACTACATCAGATTGACTCATTCAATTTGTGATGGACGAGAACCCCCAGATCTTTTCAGCAGTACTACCAACTAGCCAGTTATTCCCCATTCTGGAGCTGTGGCCTTGATTTTTCCTTCCTAAGTGAAGTACTTCACATTTGACTTTATTGAAATTCATTTTGTTGAATGAAGACCAATTCTCTAATTCGTCAAGGTCATTTTGAATTCTAATCCTGTCCTCCAAAGTGCTTGCAACCCCTCCCAGTTTGGTGTCATCCCCTGATTTTAAGCACATACTCTCCACTCGGTTATCCAAGTCATTAATTAAAATATTGACTACTACCAGACCCAAGACTGACCCCTGCGGAACTCCACTAGATCCAGCCTCCAGATTGACAGCAAACCATAGATAACTACACTTTTGAGTACAGTCTTTCAGTCAGTTGTGCACACACCTTATAACAAAGGTGGTGTAAATTAAATTCTCTAGTTTGCCTATGAAAATATAATTTGGGATTGTGTCAAAAGTCCTACTAAAAACCAAGATCTATCACTTGCACTGCTTTCCCCACATCCGCTAGGACAGTAACCCTGTCAAAGAAGGAAATTAGGCTGGTTTGGCTGTTCTTGATAAATCCATGCTAGCTATTCCTTAGAACTCTATTATCCTCTAGAGCAGTGGTCACCAACCTTTTTTGTCTGGTGGGCGCCAGATGATGAGCCACGGAGGACCGTGGCGGCAGACGAGCATCTGCCGAAATGCCGCTGACAAGCAGCGTCATCCAGAGGCGTCGCCGCCGAAATGCCACCGAGAAGCAGCGTCATCCAGAGGTGTCACCGCTGAAATGCCGCTGATTTTCGGCGGCATTTCGACGGATGCTCGTCCGCCGGCCAGTACGCAGGCGCACTTAGACGCCCCGGCGGGCGCCATGGCACCCACGGGCACCGCGTTGGGGACCCCTGCACAAATTGAGTGTTTAATAAATTGTTACAGTATCTTTCCAGGTATCCAAGTTAGACTGACAGGTCTATAACCCTCCGGGTCCTCTTTGTTCCCTTTTGAAGGCAGGTCCTGTGTTTCCCCTTCTCCAATCTTCTGGCACCTCACCTATCCGCCAGGCGTTCTCAGAGATAATCACTAACAGTTCTGAGATTGCTTCAGCTAGTTCCTTAAACCCCGAAGATGAACTCCATAAACCTGCCAATCTGAATGCATCTAACTTATTTAAATATTTTTAACCTGATCTTTCCCTATTTTGGCTTGCGTTCCTTCCCTCTTGTTAATATTCATTGTGTTGAGTATTTGTCACCATTAACCTTTTTCGTGAAGACTGAAGCAAAATAGACATTAAACACCTCAGCTTACTTGATGTCATCAATTATTAGGTCTCCTTCTCCACTAACCTACACTTGCCTTTGTCTTTCTCTTGCTTCTAATGTATTTAAAGAATCTCTTCTTATTGCCTTTTATGTCCCCGGCTAGGTGTAACTCATGTGGTGCCTTATCCTTTCTGGTTTTGTCCCTACACACTTATGCTATTTGTTTGTACTTCTCCTTAGCGCTTTGTCCAGGTTTTCACTTCCTGTGGGATTCCTTTTTGATTGCCAGGCAATTAAAGAGCTCCTGATGGAGCCATATTGGTGTCTCACTATTCTTCCTAAATTTCCTTTGCGTTGGAATAGTTGGCAGTTTTGTGCTTAACATCTCCTTGAGAAACTGGCAGCTCTCCTTTACCTCTTAGATTTTCTTGCCATGGCACCTTATCCACCAGTTCCCTGAGCTGAAGATCAGGGGAGACTACTAGTAACACCTGAACAAGTGAAGAAGAAGGGGAAACAATACTTTGAACATCTCTTAAATGAGACAAACCCCTTTAGGGCAGAGGTGTCAATATGGTGCCTGATAAAACAAGTTTATTAACTACACAAGATAGATTTTAAATTACTACAAGTAGTAAGGCATACAAGTCATAATTGGTTACAAATAAATACAAAGTAAAACACAACTAATACCTAACTTAACCAACTAAGTGAATTCAAGTCCTTTCAGCCAGTAACCCTCTCCAGTCCAACGATGCTTCCTTTGTCCTTCAAATATTGTCGACGCCGCAAGTAAAGATGAAGGGAGAGATGATTTGGGAGCTTTGTTCTTCCTTCTTATGCTTTTCTTCTTTGAGAGTCATCTCCAACAGAGGTTCAGGATAAATCTGTTGGATGGGAATCCTCAGCTGTTTCTTTGTCAAAATGTAAATCTTTGCACAAATCTTCCTGCCAAAGAATGGCCAATGAACCAGATGATAGTCCACTTGATTTTGTTGACACCTGGCTGAGGCGCTGGCTAGCCTTTTGTCTCTGGGGAACTGGTTTGTGGCTGTTTTTAGTACTACCATACAGTAGAATCTTATAACTTTACATACAATGTTGCCACACATTTTACCAGGACAATAGTGATCAGCAAATTATGAGTTTTCAAATGATACCTCACAAGGCATACTTTGTAAAAGTTTTATCATCGTCCTATTAAAAGGGGTGAATGTAGGGGTACAGACTGTCACACCAACAGGATAGCTTCTGGGCTTTTATAGACCAAGAAAAGGCATACAATACAGTGTTCACATCAGTGCTGAGGAAATACGGAGTGTCTGAAGTTTTAATAACTATGGTGAATGCCCTATGTAGATCACCTAAAACAGTGACCCGAATGTTTTTTGGAATTAAACGTCTATTTGCAATGAAAGTCAGACTGACCCAGGGATCAGCCTGCACCTGGAGCCAGCCCTAATTTTGCTGCTGGTTATCACATTGATGGACTATGTCAGCAGGAAAATCCCAGTGGGGAAAGGTGAGAAGCTGCTATATGCGGATGACATAGCAATAAGGGCATCCTCAAATGAAGTTCTAGAGAAAATAGTAAACCAGTTGTATGACCAGCTAAGCTGGCATGGGATGAAAATGAGAATGATGAAGATCGAGGTTGTGTGGGGCAGTAGAGGTGCCACCAGAAGACTGGATGTAGAGATTAATGGAGTGAGACTAAATCAGACTGATCAGTTCAAGTACCTTGGCAGCTGGGCCATGGAAGATGGCGAGCTTGAACATGAGATGTGGGGATGCTGGAAGACTAAAATAACTCAGGTTGTCCAGTTGACAAGCATAATGTGACAGGGTGGGGGAACCTCATCCAGTGCAAGATGAGTGCACCCCATCCTCCAAGCTGCGCTCTACCTCAGGGCAGCAAGGCTAAATGGCTAGTGGGCTGCCCTTACCCACGGGGCAACCTGCTCCACCGGGGGCCAACCTGCTCCACCAGGTCCCAGCCCAGGACCCTAACAATAGTGGAGTGCTCTGCCATGGAGTCAGAAGGGCTCCAACCAAAACATGCCAACTTCTCACAGGACTATAGCTAGTCCCCCCTGGCCACTTCCTACCATGTCTCTCAGAGCAGTAGTTGAGGTGACATCTGGGTCTCTGGGCTTCCCAGCCCGCACAGTTTCTGGTGACTCCAATTCCTATTGGGCATCCATGGGTACCTGAGCATCTGTCTGGGTCTTAGCACCACTGGCTTCTACAGTCAGGGTTCCAGCTGCTCCCAGGCTGGATCAAGCAAAGTACATCCTTCCTCCTTGGCAGTCAGCCCAGACTGAGTTGGGCTGATCCCTATTATACTAGTGCTACACTTGGAGCATGCCCAGTAGGGACGGTGTGGGTGTGTGGCTTCTTCAGCCCACAATGAGGAATTAGCCCTTCCGCATCCAGTGCAGGGTGAGTGCACCCCATCACCCATTTGCTGCTGAGACTGAAAACCCAACTGTCTGGAACAACGGTGCACCACACAACGCTGTACAGCGCAGAAGCCTGGGCGAAAAAGAGATGGCACGTTCAATGTCTACAGGTATTTAATGAGATGTCTTCACACCATAAGAGGAGTTACACAAAGAGACGGGTTTAGAAATGAAAGTACTAGGATGGAAGCCAAAGCCTGTGATGTGGCCAACAAAATCCAGGTTCAGAGACATGTGGAGAATGAATGAAGGGCACTTGGTGAAGACAGCATGGCAGGCAGCACAGGGGGGCTATAGGGGAGGAGGCGGTGTACCTATAGGGTCTCCAGAGCCAGGGGAGCAGGCGGCACACGGGGGCTAGAGGGGAGGAGGCGGTGTACCTATCGGGTCTCTATAGCCAGGGGAGCAGGCGGCACACGGGGGCTATAGGGGAGGAGGCGGTGTACCTATCGGGTCTCCAGAGCCTGGGGAGCAGGCGGCACATGGGGGCTATAGGGGAGGAGGCGGTGTACCTATCGGGTCTCCAGAGCCAGGGGAGCAGGCGGCACACGGGGGCTGTAGGGGAGGAGGCAGTGTATCTATAGGGTCTCTATAGCTAGGGGAGCAGGCGGCACACGGGGGCTATAGGGGAGGAGGCGGTGTACCTATAGGGTCTCCATAGCCAGGGGGGCAGGCGGCACACGGGGGCTAGAGGGGAGGAGGCGGTGTACCTATAGGGTCTCCGTAGCCAGGGGAGCAGGCGGCACACGGGGGCTATAGGGGAGGAGGCGGTGTAC